TCATTCTGAAACCGGGCAAACCAGGAAAATTTAGACTCATTCAAAATTTCTCATTCCTGCACTCTATTGATCAGCTCTTTCCCAACCCTTCTATTAATTCTTACATTAATTCTAGCAATTTCCCCACTACCTGGGGAAAATTTTCCATTATTTATTTATTAATCTCGAGACTGCCTCCAGGATCAGAAGCAGTGACACGAGATGTCGCCAAGCCATATTACACCCTCCCCCTACACCCCTCGCAATGGCCCGCAGTGGTTGTCAGAACTTCAAACACCGAATTCTGCATAGATACTTGCACAGCCTTTGGTGCCACCCCGTCAGCAGGAGCCTACAGTCATGTAGCTGATGCAGGCGCTGAGATTTTTCAGCACCACGGCCTGGGACCCTTAGATAAATGGGTCAACAACCATATTTTCTTTAGAATACAAAAGAATTCCTGAAAGCTTACAATAAATGTCGCGCTCAGTGGCATGTAGACCTGGCCGAGAACCACTTAGAGATCGGTCTAATGACTTGCTCAGATCCGAGCACAACTCCCTATTTAGTTACAACCTTCAGGATGTTGACAATCTAGGCATTCTCTGGCAACCGAACAAAGATCAACTGTTCACTACTCAAACCATTTATATTGGGTTTACATAGAACCTGCTGCTATGCGTAGTTTCCTTAAGTGAGAGCAAAGTTGACAAGTACTTACTAGCTATTCACACTTAGAGAAAGAGACCCACACATGTACTACAAGAAGCCCTACAACTCTATGACAAGTTGATGCATGCCTGCACTGCTGCCATAAGGGGCAGAGCATATTTAACCAGCCTCGAGTGCACAATCGGCATTTGCCGTGGGAAACTGCACATGCCACATCAGTCCCGATAAGGAAGTTGAAAGCGACCTGAACTGGTGGATTGATGCCCTACAGTCCGGTAGCATCTCCTGACCAATATATCCATCCACACAATTCTCTATCCTCCTTGCATTCTCAGATGCAAGCTCCAGCATCGGCATTGGAATCACCATAGGAGATTGTTGGCGCGCATGGAGACTGATACCCAGTTGGAAAACTGCCAACAATGTATCCAGAGACATTAGATGGGCTGAAGCTGTTGGTTTCGAACTCCTGGTGCGTACACTTGCCTCTATCCCTGGCATTAGTGACTGTGTCATCATCTAGGGCGACAACATGGGAGTCGTCGAGGGCTGGTGGAAAGGTTGCCACCAGAACAGAGCCATCAATGAAGTCTTCAAACACATCCACAACTTCACCATCTCTCTACCAAGATGTTTTGAAATCCATACAGAATACGTCAAAAGTGGTGCAAACCCTGCCGACGGTCCATTGAGAGGAAAGCTCGGACCAGAGCACCTTCTACTACCCAAGCTCCATATTCCCCATCAACTCCAAAACCTCATTGTTGACACCACACTCCCTCTCATACCCACAGAACTCCGCCTCTTCCACAGTGGGAAGTACCCTGCTCCTGCTACTAAGCTCATCAATTGCACCCTCCTCCAACAAGAAGCCACCAAACAAGCCAGAGCAACCCACAGAGAAGAAGACCAGATCATCATCGACGCCATCACAGAATAGTGCAGCTACCTACCACTCTCACTTCAGCGCCCCATTACCACCTTTGCTCCAACCAGCCTCACCCCTCTCCCTTCCCCCCTGAGACCCCACTGCCTAGCACACGAGAGGCTCTGCAAATGGATACTGGCAGGGCCTAGCACTCGTCTTGCACCCACCAACACACCAGGAGTAGCCATTTCAGAACAGCAGGTAGACCACATTCTCGAGGTCATGGGATCCTCCTGGGTCCCATCCACCAAAGAGACATATGGAGCCAGCCTCCTAGTATTTCACGTCTATTGCAACTCCCTCAAAACACCCAAAGAACAATGTTGCCCCATTTCTCCCACTCTACTCCTCGCATTCCTCTCCAGCTACACAGAGTCATACTCAGGTACAGCTCTCGCCAATTACACTGCCAGCTTGAAGGCCTGGCATCTGCTACACAGTCGCCCTTGGATCATCAATGCGAAGGAACTTAAAGCTATCCTAGATAGAGCATCAGTGCTAGCCCCAGCATCCTCCAAACATGCTAAACAAGAGCCATTCACTGTCCACATCCTCTCTATCATTCACACATTCATCAACCCTAGTGACCACCACGACACCGCAATATTCACCTGCATAATGACCACATTCTACATGATAGCAAGACTCAGAGAGTTCACTGTGCCCATAATCAAGTCCTTCAATCCCACCAAGCACATCTCAAGACTGGAACCTCTCTAACACCACAGACCGCAACGGTCTCCCGTTACCAAGTTCCACATCCTGAGCACCAAAGCATCCATGCTCAGTGGAGAAGACACCTTTTGGGCAGCCCAAGAAGGGCCCTCAGACCCCATAGCAGTGCTAGAGAACTATCTGTGGATCAACCCTGCCAAAGACAATGCTCACCTTTTTGCCTAGAAGCATCCTAAAGGTATGAGGCCTCTATCAAAGAGAGAAGTAATGAAAAGACTTGCAACCATCGCTCAAACAGCCAACCTACCGGACCTCAAAGGTCACAGTCTTCAGATCGGCGGAACACTTGAATACCTGTTGAGGGGAATTCTGTTTGATATAGTAAAGTCAATGGGCAGGTGGTCTAGTGATACATTCACTATCTATTTAAGAAATCATGCAGTCGTCATCACACCTTACGTCCAAGCACTATCCCTAGTGCTCAAACCTTTCTCATGCCAAATGTTGCCTCTAGTGTGCTGAGAGTTTTTCAGGTGAGTATAGCTCCTAACATCATGGGTGTCAAGCTTTGCTGTCAGTGTCGCTACTCTCCTACAATTATGGGATCACAGCTCACCTTGAAACCCTTAGGTTCAGACACATACACCAGGCCAAAAAGCCCCTTGGGCTTTTACCCAAACACTCCCCTACCAATCCTTCATAATCATTAGAATCTCCATGTATATACATACTCATGCCAAATACATTTCGATTCTATCCATCACCCCAGACAGCCGCCATATAATAAAAGCATAGAATGGGAGTTGTGGCAACCTTGATCATTTCAATGTGTGTTGCTGTCACAACCCAATAACGAATTAACGCTGGGTGGAGACTAGGACTCAGACTAAGGTTATCACAACAAATGGAAAGAGGAGCAGGTACATCTTGGATTGCTACGGTGTAGATACAAGAGGTTTGAACTAAAGAACTATCGACCAAGACATGCTACCTATATACAACTATTGAGACGGAGATTGAAACTGAGTTGTAACTACTAGCCAATCATAAAATAGGAAAGAGAATTGTACCATAGAACATTCGTAGAATATTAAAGAAGTATCACATGACCATATCTTATCTTATCGTATCTTATCTAATCTAATCACAATCAAAGAATTTGTCTTCTTCATCAGTCACATCGAAGACACGTGTTGTGGGCGCTAAGGGAATCTCTGAACTGGTAGACGCTTTCGGGATAGGGTTAGGGTTTGTCTTAGGCGCTGTGTATTGGCGCTTAGGAAGATTTAAGAAAGAATAATGGTTTGTTAAGGGTACTCGTGACAGTTGCCAAGAATGCGACAAGTACCTTAACACGGAGGTCAAAGATAGACCAGTTTTGTTGACAGCATGTTCTGAACTCCTAGTACAAGGAGGGTTCTGGTTCAAGGGTACCACTAGATGAGCGCAATGGCTTTGATCTAGGTTCAGAGGCGAGTACTTGACAGCAACTTCTACATATTCTATAGGTGAGCAGTTTTAGTGCTTCTACCTATCAAGGGTTCAGACTAAGACAGTGAGTGACTGTCTTAGAGATCAAGTATCAGACTATAAGGGTGGAGACCTTATAGAACAGGATTCAAGGGGAAAACCCAGTAGATTAAGTTAAGGAATACTACTGATGTACATGGGGTTTATATAGGTAACAGGAAGTGGAGCAGTCATGTCAAGAAAGGTAACAAAGATAGGGAAATAGCACAACCTATCAAAGTAAAAAGATAGAGATGAAACAATCATGCTGTGCATGATGATAGTAGTCAGGATACAATCAAAAAGAAGAGAAGTGCAGAGAGCCCACTTGATAAGAGAATGGCCAAGTCTAGATGGGTCTAGAGTTGGTACTAGTGCTACAGGAAGAGGAAAATAAGTAAGGGTTAAATGTTATTGTAACATTACCCTGGTGTAACCGTTGAAGTCTCTTCCATATCAGTGATGCTGCTGGGTTGACAACAGTATTCTTCATCGGCTTGTTTGCATTCTTGCTCATGGAATGCTCGTTGGTCTGCCTCCCAGTTCCTGAAGGCTTTGTAAAATCATTTTTCTGTATAAACAACAGGGAGTGGATGAATTCCCTTGAGGTCTCTGCAATAGACCAAAAGATGTCCAGGTGTGAGGACATGGCAAACTACACATTCGTAGTTGGGGCAGTTTGTGTGATGATGCCCAAGTTCATTACAGATGCATCAAATAACATTGTCAAAGGATGGTTTCTTGGAGACAGAAGGGGGCGAGGGAAAAGTAAGGTCTATGAAAGTCAACGCCAAAGCCATTAGACAGCACTCCTTGGGTGACTAGAGCAAGGGGAAGGAAGTGATGAACTTATTCCACACTGTCTCCCCTTATGTACATATTAATATCATGCAATGGTAAGTAGATTATTGGTGCGCCGGACTCGAAACATGGACCCGGTAATCAATACTCGAGCCTTGGTAGTCCTCGGATAGTGAATAAATCGGAAATGGGAGTTCAATACATCCATAATTAAGTAGTTTACATGACGTGAGTGGGTTCATAAAATTCAGAAGTTCACAGGTAATTTGTCTACTAACAGAAATTGTGTAATTTACATTTGAATTTGATCTTCAAACTTAAGAATGAGGGAATCTAATACCTTGAGCATTTTGGAAGTCAAATGTTCAGCTCTTTGCAGCCTCCGGAGGTCTTCATCAGCTCTTCTGAGTTTATCAGATGTTTCTGCCCAGGCAGTTCAGAATGGTCTCTCAGCCTCAAGTAGTTGTTGGATGGATGGGTCGGGAATATGTCCGTGTCGCTGTTTGTAATCCCGGACCCAATCTTGAATGGATTGAACTAAGAGACAAATTAGCAGAAAGATAAATGATTATATCAGATACTCACTGCCTGTGTGATTGTAAGACTCGAATGGCTGGAACTCCTGGACCATGGCAAGCAATTCTTCATAGGTGACATCTGGGTGTGGCAAATCACGTTCAGGAGATTTTACAATCGCTTGGGAGATGAATTAAGTAAGGAAACCTGGATGGTATGGAGAAACCTACATGCCCTGGATACTACTGGCGCACCTGAGACCTCACTATCCGAATCAGCACACTCCTGCTTCACCCCACAGTCGATCAGATCATCTTCAGGCCCTAAGTATATGTCTGGGTGAATGGGGAAACCCAGTTGATTAGGTTGGGCCGGAAGAGATTTATCTGTAAGGGTTTAGTGAACAAAGATGGTGAGATCTTTTGATTGACAGACCAGGGAATTCTGGCATAAAATCTTTATCAGGCCCAAGGTACAGGTCTGGGTGGATGGGTACATCCGGGTGATAAGGTTGGGCCAGAGGTGATGGATCTGTCAGGCTTTAGTAACCAGGGATGGCTGGACTTTTCATTTCATTGAGCCAGAGGTGAATGATCTGTGAGATTTGAGTGAACATTGATGATTAGATTGTCATCATATCAATTGATAAACTTACCGGAAATTGGAGAAAAGACTTCTGGACCATTGGATGACACAGAACATGATTCTGGGTCATCAGCTGGCCCAAGATATAATTGATCTGAGGATGTCCAGTAAATTGATAAGGTATGATGGATGTTGAACATACCTGTTGACATCTGGGACACAGTTGATTCATCCACATCCATTGAGTTATATTCAGTGACCGGAGGGTCATTGAATCTAACTGTAGCAGGGGAGTTCATGTTCTGAGGAACTGATCAACTGATTCACTGATTATTGATAACTTCGAAGTTGAACACAAGACATCAGCAATTGCTGAAAGTTGAACCACAACCAAACAAGGACAAACAATCAATGAAATTTTACATTGTTAATCACTGATCTTGTTTTTACTGAAACATCATCCTTGTGATAACTGATTTCAACCTGAATACAACTTGATTTCTACCTGATCTCAACACTTTCAACACTTTCAATTGAAATACCATGTCTACTCCAGTTAACACCTCTTTGATCAGCCTCAAGGAAATCACTGCCAAGATCATGGCCATCATCACTGGCGCTTGGCAGCTTCCTCCGGGCCACAGCCACTTTTCTCTGACAACCCAGGTCGGTACACTTGTGGTATGTAGCATTGTCATATTTTCTCCCCTTCATTTTTTTCATCATCCAGGTAGGCTGATGCAGTCCGGCACTATGGGAGTGGTCTCTACCTTCCAGGTCTCGTGTGTTCATGCTCGAGGGAGTTAATTCGAGTTCAGGGCATGACTCCTCAGGTCTGGCCCAACTGGCACAGCATCAGGTACCATGATACCCTGTTTGTTGACGCACCCCTGGCGCAGCAAGGTTCTTGCCTGGGAGGAGTTAGGTGATCACACCTTAAATCTCCTGGTTGTGGCCGGTCCTTCAATAGGTCCAATTCCTGTGGATCTTCCACCCTCGCCTGTCATCGCTGGGCCTTCTACCAACCCTGCCTCCGAGTCTCAGGAGAAGGGAAAAGGTAAGGCAGTTGTCCCAGACCCAGAACTGGAAGTGGAAGGGAGTCAGAAGAGGAAGTTTCCCATGATTCCGGCACTTCCCTCCCAACCCCTGAAGTCCGCTATGAAGACTTGGAAGCAGGCAAAGACAGCTGGCCTTGGCAAGTACAAGGTGTTTGTTGAGTCAGAAGATGAGGAGGACTCAGTCACTCAGGTATGTCCTCTGGTTCATTGTTTCATTGTCTTACTCATTTTGTAGCTGATTTCACATGGAGTGCTGGAGGTCGTCCTCCCCCGGCTCTCCCCAGATGTTGCAAGGACATCCGGATCACCTCAGTCACCCTGGAGCCCAAAGAAGAAACCCTTTGGGCCTGCTACAGTAAGTCGCACTTTTGCATCTGGCACTCGGGTGGGTCCTTACAATGTGCCAGGCAATTGCTGGCAAATGTCCAGAGGTCATTGAGCCCCCTTAGGCAACTCCTGAACCTCCAGTAGAGGCGCCCCCAGTCATCAATGCAGGTGATATACTCATTCCTGGACCCGTAAGTACACTATTGAGACTTGGTGTGTCTATGAACTGACGGATCACACAGAACAACCCTTGCCAGGCTTGCCACAAGATGGAATGGCCCTGTGCAACTCGGTTTGACAAGAGGACCGGCGCCCTGTGCATGTCCTGTGTCTACTGCACCACCAAGAAGATCAAGTGCATCTCCGTGAGTATGGGAACCCCACCGAAATGTGTTTGAGGTCAATCCGTCACCCGGACCACCAGGAGGACCAGATCCAGGACCCCTTCCAAAGCTCCCTCCAAAGCTCCGGCCACCTCGCAATCCACTGGCTGGACGCAGAGTCAATCTTGGGTCTCTTCCATTACTCCTGGTCCATCTCATGCCCAAACACCAAAGGCACAAACATGGGGTCACAGCAAGACTGTCACTGCTGCCAAGGAACCTACACCTGCACCAGCTTGTAAGTAACCCGAATTTTCTATGTCCATCTGACATAATATTCCACCTGTAGCAGTCCCATCTTCGACTTCCGTAGTTCCTTGTTCAGCACTCAATGTGCCAATGCCAGATTTGCATGCCATGGCAATGGCGATTCGGGAGGGTGCAGCTCAAATCACCGCTCTTGAGGAGCATCTTGTTGAGCAGGATGCTAAGATTGACACCCTGCAATGCCTTCATGAAGGCCTTCAATGTGAAATCATCCTCTGGCACCCAACATTTCCACTTCCAGATGCCCAAGGTGATGCAACATCATTTTTGCTTGATCAACCTGTCCCTCCGGCCATGTCAACCCCTGCATCTGCACTTCCTCCTCTCATTGACCTGTCTATGAAAGGGATGGAGCCCAACCCCCCCAACCTCCAGGATGAGTCTGCCATCAATGGACTCATATTTGAGCTCAACCAAATCCATCCTGAGGTTTCACAGATGCTCAGCAAAATTGTGAAACTGGATGATCTGGGAAATCTTTTCCCAGAGTATGGTTCAGTTGAAGATATGGATGTTCAAGTGAAGGGTGAACCTTCTGGTGAGGATGTTGACATGACTACATAATTAAATAGTCATAGATGTATATGCAATCTTTTCAATCAATATTATCTTTGTTATCAGTGACTTATCGATTCACCAAGTGCCGAGACCCGAGACCCGAATGCCAAGTGCCGAGGCCTAAATCCAAAACACGAAATGAGTGGAAACCCACATTTCACAAAATTGTTGACATGGAAATGTTAGATTGTCTTCAACAGTTTGCCAGATGTCATTTTCCGATCCCCAAGCCCAAAACATGAAACCCGGAAAACCCGTAATGAGTTCTACAGGTTTTCCAGGTTTCGGGCTCATGGATCAGAAAATGACATCTGGCAAGCTGTTGAAGACAATCTAACATTTCCATGTCAACAATTTTGCGAAATGTGGGTTTCCACTCGTTTCGTGTTTCAGATTTCAGGCCTCAGCACTTGGCATTCGGGTCTTGGGTCTCGGCACTCGGTGAATCGATAAGTCACTGATAATTTTCATGGTTTTGTGATGGGACCTCTGTGAAATCTGTAAGAAATACCATATGGTGTATTGTGTCCAGTGTTGTGTTTTGAGCCTTGGGTTTCGGGCATGGGCACTTGGCACTTGGTACTCGGTGATTCAACCATTGAGTTTCGGATTTTGGTGTTCTGGGAGTAACACTTTCATGTCAACAATTTTGCAACATTCAGTCTTCCACTCATTTCGAGTTGCGGGTTTCAGGCCTTGGGTCTCGGCACTTGGTGAATTGATAAGTCAATGATGAATTCCAGGGTTTTAGGATCAGCATGCGGTAAATTTTGTAAGAAATTCCATATTGTGTATTGCTTCCAGTCTTGGGTTTTGCGGCTTGAGTTTCAGGCTTCAGGCTTCGGCACTTGGCACTAGATGATTCAATCAGTCAGTGGTAACACTTTCGGTTTTGCAGTTTGGCTCTTGGCACTCAGTAATATGTCTCAGGACATCAATATTTCACACATTCTTGCGAGTATCCAGTTTCCAGTCTGGAGCTTCCAGTCATCGGGCGTCCAGAATTCGAGACAGTGATTTCTCATGGAAAAATTGATGTTGTACCATGGGATTTGATTTTTGGGCGTCAGGACTCAGCAATCCATGCATGTCAGACAAGTGCTTTATATATCTATATAGTAAACCAATACCTTGACCTATACGTCTACACAATATCTCCCTACCTTGGCCCACCCGTCTATGTGATATATTACCTCGTCAGCCAACCAGTCTATATCATAAATAATTTCCTGCACTCTCAGCCCACCCATCAATATAATAAATGTTTTATTGCTTGCTTGGCCCACCCATCTGTACAATTCACAATGACCTCAGCCCACCCATCTATATAATAAATATTCCACCGCTTTCTCGGCCCACCCATCTACAAAATTATTCCTGTATGTCGGCCCACCCATCTATACAATGTACCTTTACATTGGCCCACCGGTCTACAAAATGATTCCTATACATCGACCCACCCATCTATATAATAATAATTGCTTCTCATCTCCCTTCAGCCTAGCTGTCTATAATATACATGTCCATCCTACTGTACATATTCCCCGGATGGGCCCACCCATCTCCATTGATAAAAAATATTCATCCTGGCCCATCCGACATCATCAAGCATATATATAACATTGGCATAGATGGGCCCACCTGTCTCCATCGGAAATAATATTTCCCCCAGCCCATCCGTCAACATTGGGGATATACATCACATCGGCCCATAGTCCGCTGGCCCATCTTATACGGGATATTATGTAGGTCAGGTGACCCATATAATACAGAATTTGTCACTGAAGGGGCTCGGATACAATGGAGAAGTTTTTATCAAGGACAAAGGTTTCTTCAAGTGAGGTGCGGATGGGAGCAGTGTTCATGTTTATGAATGTAGATATGTATAAAGACTGATGATGTTCAGGTGAGTTTCATCTTCTTCTTATATGCTTGAAGAAGCATCTGGGAATTTTTGAAATATGATTCTCTGAGCCATTCATTGCTAGCAGAAGAATATCCTTTCCAGGATACAAGATAGCGGCGGTGTGCTGCTGTTCCTTTGTGTGAGAGAATGGCTTCGACTTCATACTCCTCAACCCCATTGATGATGTCAGGTGAGGGTTCAATAAAATTTGGGCCATGTATCTCTGTCTCTTGATAGGATGATAATTCAGATGCATGGAATGTGGGGTGAACTTTCCATTGTTCTGGGAGTTGGAGTGTGAAAGTGATGGGACATAGCACCTTGGTAATGGTAAAGGGACTGTGACATTTCGGTGCAAGTTTCTTTGATGGCAAATGCATCAGCAGGTGCTCAGCTGATAACCAAACCTTTAGTGTCCTGTAAATTTGGTGCATGCTAATTTACAGGTGCTAATTAACACTAATCTACTGTGTAAATTTGGGAGGCCCGAAACATGCTGTTAATTTGGGTTAATTTGCTTGAGGTGTTGTATCGGCTGATTTGCTTGATGTCACATCGTCACCTGCCAGAATGAGATTTTTAACTTATTGAGAGTCCGAGACAAGCCAACATTGAACACCTGCCAATGCTCATGGACGCCAACTCAGAACAACACAACAAACTTAACTTACTTGCACTTTACCTCAAAAATTCCCCAGACCATATACCATTGGTCCCTACATCAGCCACAGCATATGGCTTTGACTTTTACATTGCTGATGATGAAGATGTCTCGGACATGGGTGAGATCGGTGCTCTGAATCAGGAATTTGAAATATGACTGGGTCAGCGCAATAATGGGCCAATCATCTTCAAAAAGCGAGGTGCAGGTCTTGAGGGTGTTGTTGATGTGCTGAAGTCATATCTTGAGAAACACGAGCATTAAAATGAGGTTGTATTACTTCATAAATGGCTGGATGATCTCATTACAGCTGCAGAGCATGCATACATGTCTGCGAAGGTCTCAGTAAGTGATCATGAGATAGGCACAAATCAAACAAACTGCCACTCATAACGAAATGTAGTTGCCTCAGCCAGCAGATTCTGTGATAGATGACTCCAGTGGTCACAGCGTGAAGATGCCATCAAACTCCAAAAGTCTGCCAAGCTGGATAGCAAGATACTTGCTAATCATGAGGATCCTCACTATGTGGACTTGTCAGACCCCAAAGATACTCGGTGTAGAGCCTCGCTGTAGAAAGCAAATCTCTGCTGTGCTCAGCAGAAATTGTACTACCTAGTCAACAATGTTTAGGTAGATCTAAGCACGACCTATGCTGCTATACTTGGAGAGCAAGTGCAGTTCGATCCTAAAGGGATTGCTAATTAGTATCAGTAGTAAAAATGTGTCAGTAATGCAAATAACAAAATGTCCGATAATGCAAAACAATGTCTGAAGGTACTTATCCAATGTCCGAAGCCAAAGTGCGATGTCCGAGATTTCAGACTTTCGGACTTCACAATAATGAGTTGGAACTTTATAACGAGTGTTGGATTGCGAGCGGTATGCGCGAGTATAACGAGTGACGGAGTATGACGGTGAACAAATGATAATATTTTGCAATGCAACTAAGAACTACGGGAATATTCTGGGTGATCCGCAGAGTCGGGAAATGGCTCCTGACTACTGGATGATGATAGCTATGGGTCACTACAGAGTATTTAAGTAAGTACATAGAAATTCGGAGTACTACAGGCGAAGATAGTAGCGATATATTTTGGGTCCAATGTCCTATGTAATAAGACACGAGGTGCTGTGGACATGTAATAACACGGTCTGAATGTCAGAAAACATGCACAGGAATAACTACGCACCTAGTGAGGCTAGTTCGGATGGACAAGACACAGGATGGACAAGTGCGCGCGAAGTGCGATCGGCCAATGCGATGTCCGAAGGTCCGATGTGCCGGATCCGATACAGAGTGGCTTGGACATGTGCGCATATGTTTTGGGTGTTGACGTGAGTATGAAAATACGTGGTTTCAAGCCCAACACTGCGACCATCGCTACATCACGTCTTTACAGGCACTTCCCTCAAATTCTCCCACTTTCCCTACACACTCCAGCTCTAATCCAAAGGATATGTCTTGTGCAGTAGCACTCTCTATACGCACACCGCGTGTCTGCCTTCGCATCGTCTGCATTGGTGAATATGCGATCATGAAGTACCTTGTCTGTTGTGGAGTTCCACCGACAGTTGTCGATTCATAAGAGTGGAAAGAGTTAATGGCCGTTCTAAACCCAAACTTCATTTCTCCCTGCTCGGCAACCATTACCTCACATCTGATAGTCAACAAGGCTGCTAAAATTAGCATTGCTATTGAACAATACCTTGGTGCATTGCAGAACTTGACAATCACATACGATGGAGGCAAAATAAGATGTCCAAAGTCTTTCTACTCTATCCATGTCACAACCGCAGATCGAAGATGCTTTTGCATGGCATTGGATGACGGTTCTTGGCTATCACACTTAGTGAGTTTCTTTGTCGAGGCACTTGAACATGTAAGTATTTCCAAGTCAATTTGGCACGCATATACTAACCCTACTTTTAGGTTATCAAGAACATAGGCCCATGGAACTTCTGTGCAGCAACATCAGACAATACCGGTAACATGAAGAAGGCTCGGAGGCTACTTTCTGAGTGTTACCCACACATCATCAATCTTCAAGATGCGTGTCATCTCCTTAATTTGGCCATGAAGGATATCTGCTTGTTACCTGAGTTTGAAGATGTGAGTGGGCATCATTTTCGTCTTGTAATGTCTTGTAAGTCTCTTCATCTACTATCTAGGTCATCCAACAGGTCCGAACAATATTGGCACATATGAGTCGCTCAAGCTACACAATGGAGCATTATGATCACAAACAAGGTGATCTTGGAATCTCTTGTGGGCTGGAAGCCATTTGTGACACTCGCTTTGGCACTATTTACTGGGCAGCACTATCAATCCAACATGGATTACCGGCATTTCAGGCTATCGTTGAAGATACTGATCTTGGTATTGACATAGCAGTAAGTGGTTCCTTCGTTATCAGCTGCTCAACATAATGATAATCTCATTCCTTAGTCTCCTAATGATCTTTTCATTCCAGGAGGTGCAAAATTGAACTTCGAACTGGAGCTCTACAAGCTTCTTGCTATTATCAGGCCTTGGACAACAGGCACGAGATGCCTAGAGGGTGCACACATCACACCTGACCAAGTTTACTTTGTATTTCTTGGCATGAGTCAGCTGAAGGCTTATTTCCATGCTGAAGATTTGTTCAACCGCAAGATGCGCTCAAATGAAAGCCCATGTGATTACTGGCAAGCACTCCTGAAATCAGGAGATGAACTTGCTGATGTACTTCCAGTAAGTATGTTTTGCCTGCTTTCATTTGTCGCTGACTATATCCATGTAGATTATTGCAATCAAAATGTTCTCTGCAGTTCCAATTTCTATGGCAGACGAACACACTATGTCCACTATCACATGATTAAACTCTCCTTGCCATGCTAATCAGAATCTCGGGACACTTCAAGATCATATAAAAATTTGAAAGTGGCATCGTTATAAGCCTGAGGTATGTGCCAATGTTTGGTCTTTTCGAGAGCACCAACCTCAAATCACACCTTTTACTATATAGATTTCAAATGTCACCAAAAAATCACTTGTTTGATGGCAGGACATGAATGAAACTATTTTCTGCAAACATACAGCCTCAGATATGGATATGTCTAGAAACCTTCCACTCCCTGGACACCATCCACCTCAGCCAAGACCCTCCCACTGCAATCCATCCAATGATGCTGGTGATCCTAAGTTTCCTGATAATGGTGCTGAGTGGCTGAACAACGAGCGAGGACTGCCGAGAGAGTTTGAAAAGGTTAACGGCTCACACTTCTTGCTTGCGGGGGCAAATGCACATATCGAGTTGGGCTCTCCCTATCTCCAAGACTTTCTGGACAAAACACCTTGAAATGTGAATCCACTCGTCAAAGCATCAACAACATTGTCCCTTGTTGTATCGTCATCATTAGAGGCACTTCCTGATTCAAAAGCTTGGGATGCATGGCCATAGAACCATATTTACGATAATTAACCGTTAAATTTGTCAAATTTACAAGTAAATTAGCGCTAATTAGCTCACTTGCAAATTTACACAAATTTACAGAGGTTAATTTGACCTTGGATGGCACCTCTGCAAATTAGCAGCATTAATTTGGCCTCAGACGAAATTAACAGGACACTACAAACCTTGTTTCCAATCTTTCAAGGTACATATTTCTTCCTGTGTGATCTTTCTGCCATTCATTGCATAGCGATATTGTGGCAAGATACTGCTTCTTCTCTTATCCTTTGGAGGTTGGTGATGTGGTCCTTGGCTGCCAGGATATCAGATGGTGGAAAGGCATAAGGGATGCCTCTAGGCTCATAGCCTATCATAAGGACAAATGGGGATGCATTCCTTACATCATGCTTTTGGTGGTTGTGCACAAATTCTGCCATTGGTAGATGCTTTACCCATGTTTCAGCATTTGATCAGCAATAGATCTGGAGGTAGGTTTCAAGTGCTTGATTCAATCACTCTGTCTGACCATTGGTCTGAGGCTAATAAGTGGTGGAAAGTGCAACTTCATAATCCAATAATCTTCCAAGTTCTTTGGAGAACTTTGATGCAAATTGTGGTCCTTGATCTGAGATGAGTTTGTCATGGAGTCTGAAACACCATGTCTGAGGTGCAGGAATCTCAGTGCAGTCAACGTTGAAAATCAGTTGATGCCCTTCAACTGGGTCCCAGGAAAAGACCGTGAGTATCTCTATCTGCAGAAATTAATTGCTAGTGGTGATCACAATATTAATACAGGAGTGCAACTGACCCATTAGTACACTATGGCCGTCATTTTGGGCAAACAATCCATGCTCTTTGCAACTTTCAAGCTCTTCTTATGAATGGAATCTTACGGATGGGAGAATTGGCTGAGATCCCAGAGGAAAACTTTACATGAACATCAATCAGAGTTTTCATCATGAACGGACAGGTGCCTTGCTTTGTCTGGCTGGCCTCGACTGGTCTAATACAGAGTGGGTATCTCACTTGTCTGTTTCCTCAATGTACATACTAATGAAATACAGGACAAAAACTAAGCTACAAAGTGGCGAGATCATCATGACCAGAGACCAGTGGCCATTGTTTCTGTATGCTGACTATCATGACGACCCCGAGGATCTATGGAATGGTCTGTTTTGAAGTGCCTTATTAGTTTCTGTATCATACCAAACTTCACAACATTTTTTTTTTCATTCTAACTAAAGTTACAGGCATATAAACACATTTTCACATCCTCCAGCTCCGTGGATAAAGAACCAAAGGCCACTCATTCAGGTAATCCTTGGATTCATGGGATGACCCGAGTTACTCTACCCTCCATTGCATACATTGCAACACAGGTGTGTCTATGTTCGAATCTGTACATTTATACTGAGTGAGTATATATTCCAGGTCCATTTTTCACTCACCTCATCTCCTGTGTTCTTGCATATGGACACAGTCACTGACTCGGAAAGGTTCTACAACTCCGTTTTGGAAGTGTTTGAGGACCTGGATGAGAAACAAGAGATAGATGACCTAGTTGTCTGGTGGAATAGGTAATTGATAACTCATCATATATTTATTCTGATGGTCCTCATTTTTTCAGGCAAATTTTCCCTTTGTACTTGAGTACCCAGCGTCCTCTCATGAAGAACAGTGTGCTGGCAAGGATTCAGAAGAAGCAAGCACGAATGAAAGAGTCAGTTTCAGTCCCTGATGGTAGTAGTGGTAGTGTGTAGCATACATCCGGCACATAATAGTTGATTGTACCCAGCCAGAGAATCTACGTTCTGCTGCAACAAGTGATCATCCATATACGAGTAGCTTGAGATAATACTGTAGAAATTATTGTACACAGCATCGGACTGGAACTGTATAGGTATGTTTTTAACAACAGTAACAGTCAGTGCATCTTGGTCAATACATTATCTGCCTTACACAACAGATGCAGTACACATCATTTTGACATTCTAGCCCCAAATTTACCAGTCAGGTGATGCTAAACAACAAGTGTGCCTGTAGTGAATACTTTGCTGATCAGGCACAACCTCCATCTGTTTGATGTCACTTGTGTGAGTCACAAAGACAGTCATTCATTATATTTATAGATACTAATGTTGAGGAGGCATCACAATTGCTAAGGACCAACACACCTTTATGATACTATGTCTGCTTGATATAATTTGCATTAGTCATAATAGAAGCCATCCATTATATATGTAGATACTAGTGTTGGTGACTGCATCACAATTACAATCCTATGTACAATTTCATTGTGCTCCTTTTTACCCTTTTGCCCTTGACAAATATTTAGTACAAGTGGGTAAGTGCAATAAACACAAATAGCATCTCAATTTTTGCAACAGATCGTAAGAGATGGCCTTCAAATCCTTACTTGCGGCTGAGATCGCCTGACGCCATAGATCGATGAGGAGGCGGCAGGGGGTGAAGTATGAGGTGATGTTGGGGGGTTGAGTGAGACCATGAATGAATTCCTGCTTCCATATGCTGCTGAACACAAGACCATCATATGTCGCATTCTCAAAGGCGTCCCCCCACCTCTGAATGGGGTCATATGCCAAATCTTGCTTGTCAACCAGGGGGGCCGGTGCACCCTTGGGTCCTACATACATTACAGTGAGTTCAAGTAGGATGTAGAAGAGCAACTCGAGATCGTTGCAGGGCGTGTGTCAGACCAGCTGTCCATCTCCCATTAGATGGAGAACGCGGAATGATATATATGATGCGGTTCCCTGCGAATTATGAGATGAATGTATACAGAAGAAATATATAACACACAGTACCAAGCGGACTCTTGTCAGCTTGTCCATCAATATCAAGAAACTTTGCATTGTCAAAGTCAATGAAGCAACCTTTTCCTTCGTAGATGATAATATTATTAGGGCTGAGATCTCCATGAAGGACACGTCAGTCAACCATGGCCTTGTGGGCTATGATTCATGGTGATTAAAGAGCACTTTGTGCTTGCAAAAAAAAACTCACCAATCAGGAGGTCACGAAAAACCCCAATAAGCTCAGGTATGTCGCTGAATTGTGTCAGTGGAAGCCCACAGGGTGTCAAGAGAATACGGCAATGAATTCTTTTCTGAAATGCAAATGTCTGGCAATGACTGTGAATGAGTGATGTGAGTCACTCCCATGCTGATCCACGAGGAACCCTCTTATATTGTATTCTTTCTTTATTTTCCTTCCCTCCTACATTCAAAGTCTCTGAACCTGGTTCTTGGGGGTTTGAATAAGTTCAAAATCTTGCTGCTGAAGCAGGACTGAGCTTGATCAAATGGCAGCTCTGGCCGTGCCAGATCAATGTGTCTGTAGACAGGGATGGTCAGGTATGAACCCTCCCGCATATATTTCCTGTTGGGTGCTTGTTTGATGATGTCAAAGATAAACTGTTCATAGATCTCGGGGACAATTTGGCTAACTGGGTGTTCATCTTGCGGATCCTCCCCAGCCTCCCTCATTTCAACGACACCACAGTCACTTTCTTGAGCACTATAGACAAGATCTAACACCAATTCTCCAAATTCCCAGAGGCTCTTGGTGTTGCTATCCGCCTTAATGATGACTCTAATATACGGGGTCCCATTTTCGATTAACAATGGAGGCCCAACTTGAAGGATCTCTTTCTGAATCAGAGGAAACATATCATGCCAATTCAGTGTCATCTGTTGCAGTCTTGTACCCAGTCGCAGACAGATAGCGAGTTGCTGACAGAGACTGAGTCCGAGCTGACAGAGACCGATGTGGAAGGGGATTCCATGCTAAAGACAGAAGGCAGCTTCGGAGAACAGGCTTCTGTTAAGGTTGGAAGGAAGAGAGTAATGTCTGGATGGGTACCAGAAGAAAAGAATTGGGAGCATTGTTTCCGGGCGATACAGTATCACATGTACGAGATGCTCAAGGATCAAATTCAAAAGCGCAAACTGGTCACTCCCAACCCTCCCAATCTCTACCCTTCAGAGAAATAGCAAATCTCTGGTACTGGTCCACAGAGTTTGCTACCAGTCCTATTTCGGATGCAACTGAATTGCGGAAGCCTGACCTTGTCCTCCTGGACTACAAGCTCCGAAAGTTAGATTCCTCTGAAAAGTCCTGGAAGGACGTTCTCACAGGAATCGAGATCACCCAATCTGATCTTTCCAGCGATTGTAAAATTCCTTTGTTCCTGGGCATCGTTACCAAGGGTTATCTGATCATGCGGGAGCAACCATGGTGTTGTTTCATCCTGCTTTTCAGTATCTCTAAACTCAAACTTCGGGCCCATTATATAGATTGCTCTGGCATGGTAATATCAAACACATTCCAGATCGATAGATTTCACGTACATTTTGTCGATGTCTTAAATATGATCACTTTGGCAAATCACTCCTCCCTCAGCTTTGATCCAACAATTCACATCTGCAACTCTTGTAGTACTGTCCCAAGCCACACCAACTTGCTGACAGGCTTCAATACCATGCTTCTCAGGGCGATAGGTTGAGTCTATGATAACGACCAGAATTTATATTGGATCATGGATATTTGATGGAAAGCCATCGATTTTTCACGTGCGGAACTGTCTGTTATCGCGTTCAAGACAAGTTTGGTCAGGAGTATGCGCTGAAGGATTGTTGGGTCAACGAAGATGTCAAGGATGTTGAAATAGACTTTCTGAAAGCAGTCAAAGGCATCCAGAATGTGGTTCAACTCGTCAAATATTGGGATGTGCTTTATGATGGGCAGCCCAACTCCACATCACTCATTCACAGTCATTGCCAGACATTTGCATTTCAGAAAAGAATTCATTGCCGTATTCTCTTGACACCCTGTGGGCTTCCACTGACACAATTCAGCGACATACCTGAGCTTATTGGGGTTTTTCGTGACCTCCTGATTGGTGAGTTTTTTTTTGCAAGCACAAAGTGCTCTTTAATCACCATGAATCATAGCCCACAAGGCCATGGTTGACTGACGTGTCCTTCATGGAGATCTCAGCCCTAATAATATTATCATCTACGAAGGAAAAGGTTGCTTCATTGACTTTGACAATGCAAAGTTTCTTGATATTGATGGACAAGCTGACAAGAGTCTGCTTGGTACTGTGCGTTATTTCACTTTATTCTGTGTATTGTAATCTCACAGTTTACAGGGAACCATAACATACATATTGTTCCGCGTTCTTCACCTAATGGGAGATGGTGATTCGTTCCGGCACATGCCCTGCGACGATGTCGAGTTGCTCTTCTATATCTTGCTTGAATTTACTGTCATGCCTATAGGACCAAAGGTGCACTGGCCCCCAGAAAATTGGCAATGGGATGCTGTCCGGAAGTGGGATCGCCAATCAGAGTGCGACACGTGATCAGACCCTTCAGTCATTCTTCATGTAGAACTGTGGCCCTGGATGTGCCAAAAAGCCTTAGAATGGAGGCTAGCCAGTCTTGGCCGGTGCATATAAGATAGGTGCTGGCCACTTTACCATCTGATTACCACCTATCTTATTATTTCATGTAGGGTAGATGTTGGTTGGTACATAATATACTCATCTCTTATGTAGGATTCTGCAGGAGGCAGATGTATGGCTGGCTGGTGCAGTACTATTTCATCAGTAGACTGTAGCCAATGTTATGAACATATATAAGCAGTGTCCAGCCAGCGGCAGTTCTAGACCTACAATCCAGCCATCCTGGCTCCTACACATGTATATACAAAATGGCCGGTCTGCTGATAAAAGAGGACTAAAACAGCCAGTCATGGTTCTACCTACTGCAGACCCTTACTGGCCAGTTATAATTGAAGACCTACAATCCAGCCAGCCTGGCTTCTATACATGTATATCAAGATGGCTGTTTATAATTGAAGACATACAATTCAGCCAGCTTGCCTCCCATGTATATACAAGACGGCCAGCCATGGTTCTACCTACCTCAGATATTTACTGGCCAGTTATAATTGAAGATATACAATTCAGCCAGCTTGTCTCCTATATACATATATACAAGACAGCCCAAGCTGACTGAATTGTATGTCTTCAATTATAACTGGCCAGTAAACATCTGAGGTAGGTAGACATGGCTGGCTGCTTCAGTACTCTTTCATCAGCAGGCCAGCCATCTTATATATACATGTGTAGGAGCCAGGCTGGCTGGATTGTATGTCTTCATTTATAATCAGCCAGTGAGGGTCTGCAGTAGGTAGAACCATGGCTGGCTGTTTCAGTACTCTTTCATCAGCAGGCCAGCCATCTTGTATATGCATGTGTAGAAGCCAGGCTGGCTGGATTGTAGGTCTTCAATTATAACTGGCCAGTAAATATCTGAGGTAGGTAGAACCATGGCTGGCCATCCTGTATATACATGGGAGACAAGCTGGCTGAATTGTATGTCTTCAATTATAACTAGCCAGTAAACATCTGAGGTAGGTAGAACCATGGCTGGCTGTTTCAATACTCTTTGATTAGCAGATCAGCTGTCTTGTAGGTCACTTATATATGTTTATGTTTCTATGGTCTGACAACAGATCTACATGGCTAAAACAGCTGTTAGCCAAATCCTAGAGGCAGGATGTTCAGTTTCAACAACTTCAGATTTTTTCAAGAGCCTATTTATCACCTTTGAAGGCATACAGTTACCGAGTCACTGAGTTCTGACAACTAAAGAGTAAGGTTTCTATGACAGCAATTGTGCAGTGAACTGGCCGGCTCTTTTCCATTAAACTGGAACAAATGCTGGCTGGCTGCTCCTCAAAGATATTCAAGTCAGCCAGCTACAGTCCTCCTGACTAGAACAGCTGTGGCTTGTAAATCTCCATATTGGCCAGCTCTCACATGAGACAGCTAAAACAGCTGTTGGCCAGTGTATAGTTAGGTAACCTATGTCATTAATATCTTATTGCCATATAATTCTTTCATCCAAAGTACATGACATCAAGCTACAAATCCACACTCATGGAAAGTCTGCTGTGCATCCTCTGCAAACCTTTCCCACATTAAGACTTGTGTATACACATAGGCTTGATGACCAGGTCCAGTAGCTTGAGACCACCTTTTATACCATTCTTCCCAGTGAAACTTAAACTAGTTAATAATGCACCCCATTTCATGTCTAACTATGCACAACTCCTCTTTCCATCTACTAACTCTAGTCTTGGCCTTCAACTAGTTCACCCTATAGACTATATTAATAAGTCAGTTTGAAGTAACATGATACAGATGAAACTTGTTCCTTACATTCATTCAACCAATCATTATCATTACTGATGTTATTCACCTGCCAAAACCAAGCAAGCTTATCTGACCCTTGTCCAAATCAGTTTTCTTCAGTTACCTCTTTGTTGACACTAAGTTCTGTGGATAATATTTCTTGATACATATTTCCAAGGATGTCTTTGTTCATGCCTAGACATTCCATTGCTGACCTTGCCCTTTGATATCTTTGTACATACTTATCAATTTTGAGGTGACAACAGCTTGCATCTTGCTTGGACCGGGTTCCAGCCCAGGTGGAATCTGCACTCCAAAAATGCTGGCAATAAATAATAGCCTTGTGATCCAATGCCATATGTAGGATTTCCAGGCAATCATTTGCTTGACCGATTCGAAGCTCCAACTCTTTGGATTGCAAGGCATGTAGCCCAAGGGATGAGGCCTCACTGAGGAATACTGAAGATGGCATCCATATACTCATCTCTTCTGCAAGAATTTCTTCTTCAACATCCTTCAAAATTTCATCATCCAAGACCTCCCAGTCATTTCCATCATTGTGGATACCACAGAATCTAGGATCATCGGAGTAAACTGTTCCAGCATGAAGATCCATACCTGCTGTCATGGAATCAGCAGCTTCATGAAATTTGGCAATTCTAGCTGCCAATCTCTGGCATTTTTCTTCTATAGCAGCTTTTTGACCAGGACTTGCATCATTAGGAAGTAGTCGTATATCTGCTCTTAATGCATCCCTAAAATAGATTAACATACGACATCTTGTTGGCATAATTAAATCATTATGTACTGTGAATCCTCAAGGTTAATGCCATCAGAACAAAAACATCAGATGTGTCTCCACAATAGAATTTTACTGACATTTGTTGATCTGCAGCTGATAGATATCAAGATTCTCCCCCCTCTCATCCATAGCCTTTTTTTCATCACTTTCCCACATCGAAATCTTGACACAGTCCAAAGAACGAGTGAGCTCATCAAAAGGAGTTTGAGTCTCATCAAGACCTTTGGCAGCTTGTTTGTACTTTCTCAAGAGAGTTTTAACTGGAAGGTTGAGTGTGAAGTATAATTTTGAATATGTAATACTGTAGTACATACCTATTCGTGTCAATTTTTTCTAGTTTGAGTCTCGCATATGATCATCAAGCACTTCTTGGCAATGAGCTTGACTCATTGACCGAGCAGTTGGAGAGATCTTATTAAATGGAGCCCATAGAGTCTCCAAAATCTCCCCATCGATCTGCCCAGCCCCTTGAATAAAGTTGAGGCTGTACCTCGCAAAGCAAGCTAATTTGTGAGCACTAAGATGGAATTTTCCAACTGCCACCATGACCTTCATCGTGTTGGAATGGACATTCGGCCTTGGCTGTCAACCACTCTCTGTAGAAAATTAATGCTCCACTGACACCTCACATCATAAATGATAAGAAAGGAATCTATACCCATGGAGTGATAATTCATAGCATTGCATATTGAGTAGTCCATGTTCATCTGTCTAAAAATAACGTCAACTCTTCTGAACACACTATATTTGAACATCCTGAACAGACCTTTCACCCTTTTGGAAATCAACAACGGAGTGAGGAACAAAGCATCCATGTCGGGCACAAGCAGTTGCACCCACTCCTGTGGCTCATAGATTGCTTCTGTTAATGTTGGCTGCATTGACTGCTCGGTGGTTACTACAAGAAGAACACTTCTCAAGTTGTCAGATAATGCAGAAAGAATATTTATACAAGTCACCCACCTCCTTACTCTCTGTAGCCAATGATAGATGGGTCTGGTATTCTTGCTCAGTTACCATATACCTAAGCCCATCTGAGAGACTGATATCCAGGAGTGGTTGTTTCATAATCATATGTTGTGTGGTAAAGTTTCCATCAACAACATATCTTTGTGAAATCAGCCAACTGTGTCAAGGGTATATAAGTATAAGATCTATCTCAAAGATAATGTCCAAGTGAAGATAAAATGGCAGACTGCCAGCCAGCTCATCTCTAGCACCAGAAAAAGTAAGACCAGCCAGCTGGATCCTATATCCTGATAGGAAGAGCTGTAACTAATCTGAGCCCACTGGCTACCATCAGTCTGCACCCTGTAGATCCAGGGCTGACTGTCATGGCTATAGCAAATCTGAGTCCACTGGTCACCATCAGTTTGAATCCTGTAGATCCAGGGCTGGCCGTCATGGCTATAGCAAATCTGAGCCCACCAGCCACCATCAGTCTGCACCCTGTAGATCCAGGGCTGGCTATTATAGCCATAGCAAATCTGAATCAGCTGGCTGCCATGATTCTCCATCCTATAGATACAGAGCTGGCCAGCTATTTTATACTGTCAAGCAAGGCTAACCGACACGTATCAAATTTGACCATAGCTAGCCCTTCATAAGCAACAGTAAAGCAAATGACTTGCCTTTCATACTTGTCTCTCCAATCAGTGGCAAGGTTGATGCCTGGCTGAGGACAAGCAGGACAGAATAAAGCAAGATCACTCTTGTAGGGAATCTTCTCCTTGTTGTGTCCAAAACCAAACCATTTTCGACTCATCAAGTCTCTCCACAAACGAGACACTCTCATGAGCTCTCTATATCTATTCTGCTGTATTGAACAAATTTACAGTAAGTCTAAGAAACATAGAATGACAAGTTGCTCTCACAGGTACTTTATCCAGGAATGAGTTATTGGCCATCCTCCGAAGTTTCTCAAAGAAGCTTGAGGCAGAAGTCTTGCACTCTAGTGCATCAATGAGAAAAAGATCTAAGACTTCAAATGTGAAGGCTGTTCTTGGACGTGTGGTACTTGCAGGAAATAACCCTGTCTTGAGCAATTGTAGGTGTTGGCTTCTACTAGACCCAGGACAACTGCACCAAACAACATTGTGAGAAAATACTCCTGTTAAATGTACAATGGTCAATGTGGTTGTGCGAGGTGCAGCGGTATTCGTAGTCTCCATTGGAACAAATTCATCATTGGCATCCATATCCTCTCATGCTTGTGAGTCGTCTGAAAATGGGCAACATTGCCCTCCATGACCCATATGCCAGATCAAACCCAGCTCTGCCAATGACTTATCCTCATAGCATTTTCCGGTCCATTCTTGAACCTTATGGCATGGCAAAAATTGGTGGGCTTTGATGATGCAATGACAACACCATATATAATCTCCACTACAAGTTGCATAACAGAAATTTCCTTGAGCTGTCTGGCAAGACTGGCACTTGGAGACTTCTTGTGGTTTCTCTAATTCGAGGAGGATCTGAAGATATAAGTCGCAGAAAATGAGATATTCCTGGATAAAGTCATTCTGAGTCTGATTGCAGCATGTCATCATGGTTTGTTGTTGAATATTGCAATGCAACAATTCACTTGCCTTGGTTTGTCTCTGACTGTTAACTGTAAACTCAGGCCAGTCCTCAACAACTTCTCTATCACATTCCTCTTGAACATATTCCAGACCTTGAGCATCATGCTTAATTCATTTATGTGGGCTGGAGAAAGCAGATGGGGCCTGGTGAATTTCATATGCAGCATCGGCACAAGATTCTACCCAGGTGGGCTTTCTTTTCTGGGAGTAGTTCGTTTGTGAGATACATAATCAACATCAAGGTCCTTTCCTTGAGATAATGACCTCTTCCCTGAAAGTTGAATGTTGTCAACTTTAGGCGAGTTTTTTCCGAGAAGATATCCTGCAACTTTGGGGCGCAAAGAGAAATGTGGCTACTGCTGGTAAGCCGAATAATTTTCACAGATCACTAAACCGCCAGTATTTCGTATCTCCTTCCCACCCTCCCCCCCAAACATCTAGACTCCTGACCTATACTAACCTAACTGTTAACTACCTAACTACCATGACTATCTTTTGATTTGCCTTCCCACCATCTGCAAGAAAAAATCTTGGGTTGGAAATGATGGTCTGATGCACCCCCACTCCTAGATGAACTTTATCTTTCATAAAATGGGGCAATGACAAGCCTTTCTTCTCCTTTATCCATACCCAACAGAATGTTTCAGGACCTTTCCTGACAATGAAGACCATGGTCCCAGGGTAATAATCCAGCTCTGCTCCAAACATCTGGTAATGTCACTTGAGCCTCCATGATTCACCTACCTAAACTCACTAAAAGATCCATGAGTGAAGTGCCACCACCAGGTCTTGGTGAGAGAAGATGACACGGTTGGCAATTACTTCCAATCCTGAAAGAATTGAGGGCCATTAAGACACAGGTGGTGCATCTGTTTATTCGCCCCCCTACTGACTTGCTGTGCAACTTCCGAAATAGCAGCCAAACCTGCCTCAAATAGACCAAGGAGCCAAGGCAGCGGTAAGTGCATTCCAAAAATATTCAGTAGTTGAGAAGACGTCGAGCCACTCTGGACTTCTGCAGATGAAGTACGAAGCAGATGTAACAAGCGGGTCTTGAATTCTCTGCAAAAATGAGCAAAACCACCTAGATGTTGTAGTAAATTAGACAAATACCTCTTGTACTTTGCAATAAAATATGCTGGAGATACCAGTAACTCTGCCAGGTTCCAAAAACTCCGCCTCCTCAGGCGAAACAAAGCCTTGAGATTGCCAAGATTATTTCGAGGCTAAATGGCTTCTAAGAAGGAGATTTTGTAAACCCACAGTGGCTGTGTTGACATAGTCCTACAAAATGAATTGACGTTATCCCTGTCAAATAGTGGACTTACCACTGGAGACCTTGACAAGATATCAGGCAAGTAAACCGTCAATATTTTACCATGTTTGTCCAATGGTTGCTGGTGCAGACAATTTTCCTATTGCTGCTGCTGGGAAGTATTTCTGTAGACGTTCAGTTTCTGGGGAGGGTGAACCATCTGCCTTGGGTGGAGAAGACTTTGCCATTTCGGCATATCTTTCAACATCCCACTCTACATAATCTGCCACTCAAATTAAACCTTGGTAATAGAGTTATCACATAAGTAGCTTACAAGGGTTTACCATTGCATAAGCAATTGTCAGCGCTGCTCAATTTATCTTATATTCAGATATTAAGGAATGACAGTTTGATATGACATCATCCGTTGCCAAGCAACTGTTCAGCTGCACTCCGATTCTCAACCTAAATATGTCAGTGAGTTGAAACTTAATGTTAAATAATGAACTGTCATACCTTGCCTTGTGTAGAAGGTGAGATTGTACTTTCCCCTCCTTGAAAACACTTGTGTTTGCAGAATCTCTCATAATTTGAGTGATTTGGCCAGTCAGCATGGCCCTTAGCTTTGTTGTTTCACTTTTTGTGTCGTTCATGTGAGGGAAAAAATATGAACTGAATCGCTGCCTGAATATAAAAATTGTTGTCAGAATTCCCGCGCTGTCAATTAGTCCCATTTCAGTTACAAGCGGCCAATTTAACTAAAAATGGTATAATCAACCAACTGAGGCACATAGATTACACCATGTCATAAGTCGGGTCAACCATGTTTCAGTGTGTCAAGTGAGTTCGAGTCAATTAGACGCATGATAGCATTTGATGTTGGTTGTTTCTACTATTATCCATTAAACTTATCTTACAAGACCTTACACTTGAATTACAACATGCCAAATCAGAGGAGTGTTCTATACCTTGAGATTTGAAACTAACTGGCTCTAGAACCACATGAACCCAAGGCTTGCCATAGTGTATTTTGGGCGTCGGAAGGACAATCTGTTGATCGAGATAGGGTCTGGAGATACAGTGATCCCCACGTCTTGCAAGAATGGCAAGTTCTGATAGTCTAAAGCCTGTACAATCAGTTAATCATATCAGTGCTGGCATTAACAATTCAATTACAGGCGACCAACGCTCTGTAAATGAGACATCCATCTTTGCATGCATATGATTAAATGCTTGTACAGGTTCTAGACTATCAGAACTCGCCGTTCTTGCAAGACGTGGGGATCACTGTATCTCCAGACCCTATCTCGATCAACAGATGTGTCCTTCTGACACCCAAAATACACTATGGCAATCCTGCTGCTAGTAGACCTGTTGTAAGTTGAACTTGCCATTCTTGCAAGACGTGGGTATCACTGTATCTCCAGACCCTATCTCGATCAACAGATGTGTCCTTCCGACGCCCAAAATACACTATGGCAATCCTGCTGCTCTTTGCCACCAGTGCAGCTACCATTGAAGAAAACACACACGGTCACGTGACTTTCTACACCAGGCAATGAACGTCGGTTTAATCAATTAACATATTAATTAAAGAAATAGTAAGTAGTACAAAAGTAAATAATTTACTACGAGTTTAATCACATTGCAAGTCAAAAACAATAAAGGGGAGCTGTGAGACGTTGATGAGGGAGCTCTCCTCACCAACACCTCACACTCGAAGTGAATACTAAGTAGTAAAAAACCTAAGTTAAGTGGTAGTTATTTAAGTCCTATAACCGCATTAGACAGAAATCTATTTGAATGGCAACACTTACTTAAGAGAACGTGGTGGAGAATCCTCCTGTTAGAAAGGCATCAGTCAGAAAATTTAATTAATTATCCACTTACTCAAGATAAGACGCGGATACAGATGGTATAATCACCACTCAACCAGAAAGAAGCAAGGAGCGCTAGTGCTACACAACTGCCAACAAACCGGGCCCAATGACCCCACAGAAGCAGGGGGCACAGTGCCACACAACCGCCAAAAAATAACACTTAAGACACTCAACGAAGCAGAGGGCGCAGTGCCACATAACCACCAAAAACCTGAAAAGAAAAGCAGGGGCGCCGGGCCAAACAACCACCAAAGAAGTCAGTAAGGACGAACAAAAGTAGTGGGACTTACTGTGAGTATTTGTGCCACAGAGAGGCGCTACAACAGAGTGTCAGTGGCACCATAGACAGAAGTGCTGAAAAAATGGAGTCAGCACAAATAAACAAAGGTAACACTACTTACCATAGTGCAGTATACAATGATGAAAAAAAACAAAAACAAAAAGTTAGTAAGTTGGTGCATAGAGAATAAGCACTCACCATGAATGCAAGGCACCTGTAGTGTATTGCCTTTAGATCCTTGCAGCTGCAGTCTGCAAGGACCCTAAGGGTACACTAGAAGGTGCCCTTGAGAGTAATTGAAGGTAGATGATGAGGAGTGGAGTGATGGAAGTAATGGTAAGAGGATGAATGGCATGAGATTTCAAGTTGGTTGATAATGACACGCATCCATTTGTCCTTGTTTGGCCTTAAAACCAACCATGGTATTTTTGCCTTGAGTGCGTGTCCAAGTTCCCTGTGCTGCCAAATTGTTTTGGTTTATTTGTGCTACATGCAGACAATGCAAGTAAGTGTTAGTGTTCTTACTTTCATTGCTTGTGCCACTCATTCCTCGCCACTTTCAACAACTCCAATGCCGTGGACCAAACAAACTTGCAAGAAGTCCACCGGTGGCTCATCAAAACGCATCACTGTCGACTTTGCTCCTTTGATGGACTTTGCTCCTTCGACCGGCATGGATCTTGGCTGGACTCCACAATGCAGGAGATGTCATCGGATGAGGAGCCGGGAGGAGTCGGCATGGATGAGATGGATGAGATGGTAGCTTGTGGGGTGAAGTCAGGTCATAATGAGGTAAGTACATGCTATGTTTCATGTTTTGAACAACTAAGCCATGTTTTTTACAGTGGTGTATCATCTGCTGGGATGGTTCAAGTGGGCACGAGTTTCTGTACTTGTGCAACTTTTGTCCCCACACAATGTGCTCTCGCTGCATCGATGTACCTGTTTCTCAGGCCGCCGCTCTCAACCACGATGGTGTCACCTTCAAATGCATTTCTTGCCACCTGGCAGCGCAAGAGCGTGAATCCTCAGAATCACACTCCGCCTACTTTGTAAGTCATTATCTATTCTACCATTATGTATTAACACACTATGTAGGGATTCTACAGGAATGATATACCGGTTTTGCCCACTTTCCTCACAATCCGTGGTGTGCTGGAAGTATCTCTGCAATCGCAGATTTCCTGCACCTGTTGTGCTAATCCATCTCGCACTTGTCAACTATGATACCTCTGGCAGACCTTTCAACCTTGCCTTTCAGTTTCTCTCCCCGTACTTTCCATCTGGAGGTATCGCATTCCACGAGCTCATCTTTGATGTCGCGTCGAAGTCAAAGAGTGACCACTATCAACTTGAGGTAGGTGAATTGGTGCACAGCCTAGTGACTCAGCGCCACTGGCCACGTGTCATGTTCACCATCTCCAACCATACATATGATAACACTGGAGACCCATTCCTGGGTCACGAGCACAAGAAATCATTGTATGTCTCTGGCCGAGTCGACAGTGTGAGTAATGTTTTTTCTGACGTACCATTTGCTCACCATCTTAAGCATAGTTTTTGAACATTATCCTCACGCCATGGCAACTGCTCATCAAATCTGCCAAGGACTCCTACCTATGGCTTTTGTTTGCGGTGCGCTGGTCAACAACGCTGACTCTTTTTCATACTTGCAAACATCTGTCTTTAAGTAAGTACCACTCTCATCTTGCGCTTCATCACACCTGACTTAGTGCATGCTGTCAGTCATCATATTACGGCTACCATCTGCTTCAATGCCATCCGCTTCCAGCCAACATTTACAGCTCCTCTTCTTCTGGCGTTTGCAGAACATGTTCTGATTGAGCGTCTGCCTATTCACAAAGTTTTTCCGGACATGCTCATGCAGTCATACAAACTCAGGCAACACACTGACGTCTTTTTGTTGGCAACTAATGCTGGTTGCTCATTGGAACTAACTAAATTTGCATGGACACATTGCAAGGAACGGCCTTGGGGCCATGTCTTCCACTTCAATGTCACCAGTGTGGATGGGCTAATTCTTGGTGTTCGGCTAACCACAAGAAGACGTACTCATTTGAATGCATGAACTCAAAGTGCAGAAAGAGTTATTTGTTCAGCCCCCCAGAGAACTCTGTGACCCTTTCACATGTGAGAAAGAGCAGTTCCTGCTGGATTGCGGTCAACTTGGAGGCCAAGCTTGTTGTGTGAGGTTGAGTTTTGGCCACATCTTTTACTTTTGTACTTTTGATCATTCATGTCACATTTGTTCCTATGTGTTTTGGGTTACATATTGATAGTTGCTTGTTCTTATGATTTTGAATGTCAGTTGTTTGACTGTTTTGACGACTTCAAAATTGAGTATTCAACAATACCATGTGACCGCGTTCATTATATAATGAACACGGTCACGTGGTATTGTTGAATACTCATGCAAATCAGTGTTATCGGCCGGCCGCCCTCATACCGCAAGTACCGTCAAGACTCAACCTGCAATTTCTAGCAAATTGGACTCTTTTTTTTGTGGAATCGCTTACAATGTCTTCTGACTGGACAAATCAATTCTTGATCTTTACCAGAAGGATGTTATCACTGCGGAATACAATCTGATCAAAGACGTGTGGTGAAGAAAATTCGCAAAGCTATACTGGCCTCACAAGGAACAGGAAGAGGAGGTGCCCTTGCCTGCTTCCTTGAAAAAGGTAACAATATTTAACAATATATGTATATTGATTTGTTCAATCTACATTAATGCTACTGTACAGGGGATCAAACGATACTACACCAAACTATCAAAGGCAATGAGGAGGTGGAGGAAAGAGAGGCTGCATGTCATCCAAGAGAAGCGACATTCTACAAGAAAACACTGTCTGAATGGGATGTCACACAGAAATTATTCAAGCAGGAAATCAACGAGTATGACAAGGCCGAGCAGGAAAGGAAAGGCTTGGAACACTCGATTAAGTATCAGACATTGCATGCCTGGGAATGGTTTGATAAAATGACGGCTTCACAAAAGCAGGAGGTCAAGTCTGCCATGGAGAAATGGAACAGGGAGGGCGCACCAGAAGAAAGTCAAGCTGTGTAAGTTTGACTTGAATTTAGGTGTCTTTTGAGCCTACACTTGCGCCAAGGTACCATAAGAACCATCTGAAGAGAACTCTTGAGGACTTTTCAAAGCAGATTGAACGCACCATGGGTTGTCGCATGGTGATGTTTGTGAGTCACAAGAAAAAAAGCTCCCCAGTCATTGGCTGTTAGTGTGTAAGTAATCGAGTTATCGCAGTGATCTCAAGGCTAACTCATATATAGACATGAATCTGAGCCTCAGAATGCCAAGAAGAGGTTCTTGGTCAGCTCCAACGGTATCAAGGAGTGGTCTGCCACTGGACTTAATTCCTTTGCAGAATGATCCAAGACCAAATTTTGTATGTGTCTTGTTTGATTTTAAATATTGTGCTTACTGATATTAACTTGAATTGATAGACCCTTCAGAGGGTCAAGACCATGCAGATGCAGGTTCAGACAATGGCGATGATGACAGTGGCCCTGTCATACCTGAGGTTATACTAGATGAAGATGGATATGCAAAACTTCCAATGCGTGATGGTATCGGCCTCAAGGGACAACATGAATTAATTAGAAGCATATTTCATGCTTCTTACAGTAAGATATTCCATTTTTAATATATGTCATTTTTAATTGATGTGTTGTTTGTAGAAGTTTGCACAGGTGGCTCTAGACCTGTGCCTTGGGGAACAATCACCGGCAGCTCATCCAATTATTTGGAATCTGGCTCAGTACCCACTGGATTTATGGTCAAGGACCCTTCTCACATGAAGACTGAGGAGGTAAATCATCTATAGAATCATTTGGAACAATGTTCTGCTGCCAAACAGAAGCTAGTCATTTTTATCAAGCCCAAGGTCGGTGATTTACGTAATGGAGATGGAAGGAGGAAGTCTAAGGCAAAAAGAGTAAGCGGACTTGATGCAGATGAGGAAGACCAAGACCGGCCGGTTTTGAACATCCAGCCAGTTGTTCACAGCAACCAGGCTGAAACAACCCCAGATGATATTTCAATCACTGAATGATATACATATTTAGAATCTCTTAGTGCCATGAAAACTACAGCTTGTAGATGCCCTTAAGGATCTGGCAATCTTAGCCAATTAGAAGGTGGGCATTACTTCACGTTTGTTTAACTGTGTAGCTTATATCCAATAGCCCAATTCCAAACAGCACACAGATTTGCCTATCTGGGCTGACTGGTCTTGGAATGGATCTTTTCTCCCTGAGGATGTGCATATCTCATATGACACTTTGAAGGCCAGCTTGAACAAGCTGATAACATCTCCGATCACAGGAGCACCATCTGCAATGCCCGTCGTTCTAGGAATTGGACTTCTCTACAGGGAGTCTAAACGTGTGATGAAGTTTGAGGAAGATGAAGCCAAATCCAATACTCCTGCCTACCTACCTGGGTCTGTTTTTGATCTACAGTTTCTGGTTGCTCTGGATGATGCTGTTCGAGAAGTCTTGGCTAACATCATTGAGCACATTGAGAGGCTGACAAAGAACGCACTTAGTGAGGATGATGATGTGGAGGATAATGGAGTGGATGGAGGAAAAGAAGTAGCGGTGAACCAGGAAAGTAGTAAAGTTGGGGAAGATATTCCTATGCAGCAGATGGAGATACAGGAGAAGCAGGAGGAGGAGCAGGAAGAACTCGAAGAGGTACAGAAAGGAAGGAAGAGAAGGTTAC